CAATGTCATCATCATCAATATCATCAATGTCATCATCATCATCATCAACACGTCATCATCATCAATGTCATCATCATCAATATCATCAATGTCATCATCATCATCATACCATCATCATCATCATCAATGTCATCATCATCATCATCAACATCATCATCATCATCATATCATCATCATCAATGTCATCATAATCAATATCATCAATATCATCATCATCATCATCATCATCATCATCATCATCATCATCATCAATGTCATCGTCATCATAGAAACTAATCATTCATCATCATCATCATCATCATCAATGTCATCATCATCATCAATATCATCAATGTCATCATAATCAATATCATCAATATCATCATCATCATCATATCATCATCATCATCATAACATCATCATCATCATCAACATCATCAACATCATCATCATCATCACCATCACCATCATCATCATCATCAATGTAATCATCATCATCATCATGATCATCAATGTCATCGTCGTCATAGAAACTAATCATTCATCATCATCATCATATCTTCATCATCATCATCATCACCACCATCACCCCCTCCTCATCCTCATCATCAACATCATCATCATCATCAATGTCATCATCATAATCATCTCTTTGTCATCATCATAGTCAACATCACAAACATAAATCAATTCTTTCACTTATCGTCTTCGCCGCTGTTGTTGTCATCATTATCAGCTTGCAGTGTCATATGTTCTCCTCCATCAAATCTCTTTCATCATCCTTATCATCATCATTACTAATATGAAATAATTTATACTAATATACTTTATTTATCATCTTCATATCACCAAATTTGTCAATACATACACAGTACAAAAACATACAAATTTACACTAATAGTTCAATTTAAGTGAAATGTTTAATTAGGAATTGTTTGTTTTTTCTTGTAGAATAAGAATATAAAAGCCAACTTCAGAAAAAAAGTCAAGCCATTTACACTTGAAGAAGGAACACTTTATTATAACCACAAAGTCCATGGCCCTCTCAGAACTGTGAAACCAGATGAAGTCCAGATCATCCTTAGAGCATGCCATGAGAGTCCCATGGGAGGACATCAAGGAATCCGCAGAACATGGCAGAAGATCAAGTCAAGATATCACTGGCCTGCCATGCAGAAAGAGGTTAAACAGTTTGTTGAAGAATGCGACCCTTGCCAGCGACAAAACCGACTGTTCAAGACCCCGTCAATTCTACACCCTATTCCAGTGAAGAATAAGGCATTTAGTATGCTGGGTATGGATCTTGTTGGTCTACTGCGACAGACATCAAACGGAAATGTATACATAGCTGTATTAACTGACTACCTGACAAAGTGGCCAGAGGTGAAAGCCATTCCTTCTAAGGAAGCAACTGAGATTGCTACTTTTATCATTGAAACCGTTTGCCGCCATGGATGCCCTGAGGTGATCCTTACAGACAGAGGCACAGAGTTTTGCAATGAGCTAAATGACAAGCTATGCAGCCAATTATCCATAGAGAGACGGGCCACAACTGCCTACCATCCCCAGACCAATGGCCTGACAGAGCGGTTTAATCAGACACTTTGTCATGCCATTGTTAAGTATGTTAATGCGACACAAGATGATTGGGATACATACTTACAACAGATTGCATTCGGAACCAGGACATGCATACACGCCTCAACCAAGGAAACTCCTTTTCATCTGACATATGGAAGAGAGGCAGTACTCCCAGTCCAATTGGACATACCCACAACTTTGTCTCCTGAAGCTGACATCAATGCCGACGACTTCCAGGAGCTGTTAAATGACAGAGCTGCATCTTTTGCAGAACTATTGAACTTACAGAACATTGCTAAGGACAGGATCAAAGAGGCACAAAAGAGACAGAAAACTCACTATGACAAAAAGAACAAAAGAAAAGAGCATGTAGTTGGAGACAGAGTCTTAATCCGAAACAAGAAGCGAGTAAACAGGAAAGGGGACCAACTGGCAACAAAATGGGTCGGACCTTTCGTTATATCTGCCTGCATCGGAAAAGGGGTGTATAAAGTAGAGGAGAGAAAATCAAAGATAAACATAAAAGACATGAAACTGTATAGACAGCCAACAAAACAGAGTAATGGGATTCCAGCCAGAGACAATAACAAAGCTGAGGAGACCACTGGAAGAAAAGAAGAAGAGACAAAGACTGCAAAGGGCGCAAAAAGAATCAAGAGAACTCATAGAAAAGTTACATCTGACAGATCAACTGAACAGAAACAGGCAACAAAGAAAACAACAAAGACAAGAAAAAAAATAAAAGTTCTGCCATCAGAAACAAAGAAAGAGAAAAGAAAGAGCAATGCTTTGAACAGGAAGGCCACAGAACCGAAAACAGAATCACATCTGCTAACACCTACCAAAGGGATACTTGAGCATGTTAGGACAATGGAGAGCAGCACCAAGCTGAAGGCATTCCAGATATGCAGCAAAGCCTCGGTACAACGACCAAGCAATCCTACCGATGATGCTGTTGCTAAGTCACCAATCCTTTCTATTATCATGGAGGCTGACAGGAGATTCGGGGAGGAGGTTGAACTTTGCCAGAATGCTATGCTTTCTTGGTATATGACTGCAGATGTCGACATGGAATTAGTCAACACACTGGATGCGTTCATGTTAGCTTCAGCAATCCTGACAATCTCATTCCATGACAATATTTCAATTGATGACATGCTCAAGACTATACAAAATGTACCTACTTCAGCATTACCAGCTGACTCACCCTGCAAAGTCCTCAAAACTTCAACAAAAATGACAATTGGAAACACAACACTAGAACGGAGGGACCTGTGTACACTTTATCCTGATAAGTGGCTGAATGATCAGGTAATTTTATAAACAAGCAATGAAAATCTTAGAAAATATTATGATACATTAATATGTATCAAATAGACAGGTATTGAGACATACAAAACATTTCAAGCATCAAATGTAATTTAGTGATACCACCAACCCAACAAAATACTGGCTATTACAAGAGGATATGATGTTGATAAAACTAAAATGTAAGAACAAGCTCTGCAAATTGGTGTATGTTATAAACTGGAATTAAAAAAAAAAAATGTTTCATCAAATTATTGCAGAATTTGCAAAAGTGACTTGAAACAACTATTCCTTTTCTACAGGAATGTGTCCTTATTATATTCATTGCACCTGTTTTAGGTTATCCACGCCTATTTAGGAATTTTGAAGTCAGATTTCAATTCCGTCCACCACAAAGGATGCTATGTTCTTCCCTGTTTCCTGGCGACTAAGTGGGAGGCAGGGGAATGCAATGCTTGGCTGTATCCAAAGGTAATTTTCTAACAAATAATTTATTTCATTGAAGTCCCAGAAAAATGAAACATAGTATGTTTTTTATGTTTAGATTTCAAAGATGAAAGGCATTGTCAAGGATACAAATACCTCTGTGTATTTTTATACCTATACTTGATAATTGTATGACAATTGGTCAAAATCTTTTCAGAAAAAAACCTCAAAAAGTAATTGCAAAAAATCTAAACACAAATGTTTAGCCCTACCAATCAACAAAACAACCACCATGGATTGATAAAATTGATAACTTGTTTTATGATGCATTCTCATATCTGATTGACAAGAAGTTTGATGATAATCAGTTTAGAAAACAAGTCTCTAAAACAACTACAGAGAATTTTACTTGTATATATATGAACTAACAACTAAATAAACAACATTGCTTTAGAGAAATAGTTGGAATAAAAGGACATACTCTTGACCATCACATTGGCAGTATTTATAGATAGGTCATTTTCATGCAATGTTTCTCAAGAACAATTCTGATTCAATAAGAAATAAAAACAATAACCCCAATGTCCTCATACAGGTGCCATTGGAGACATACCAGACTGTATTGTTGCCCGTTTGTCACCAGCACCACTGGTTTCTCCTGGTTGCCTCCATGGAGACTGCTACCATCTCTGTGCTCGACTCCCTTCCTTATGCAGGAAGAACACAAAGATTCAGCAATCATTGGAGGTAAGAACTTAATCATTAATGTCTCCTTTACTGTTCTTAAAGGATATCACTATGCCCCCTCAACAGATCTAGAATGGGTCATCTTGTCTATTCTGCTTTTTAGCTTTCAACCTCGTTCCCTTGAACCAGAAGTTGAGTGTTCATTAAGTTTCATATGTGGATACATGTTAAGGAGTGTTAGAGGGAGTGTAAATCAAATGTAGGATATTGCCTTCTGTATTGTTCACAGCAGTGGCATTTACTTGATACTAAAAGTATTAAAATATCATACTTCTTCTTGATCGATACATCTCAGATGCTACTTTATCTTAGCATCAAGTATAGGTCACTGGCATATAGCTATAGTATCCACTTCAGTAAATCACCTTTACTTTTGCATCCATTTTCATCAAATCTGGAGCAGGGACATGTATATATTCACAAATATTTTTTAGTCTTTTTTATTCTAGAAAATCTGTATTTTTATAGAATGTTTGCAATACATTACTTTCAGAGTCATGGAATAAAAGTAATTTTTCACTGTAAAATTTACATCACTAAACAGTATGTCTATGACCAATCTGTCTATTGAAATTTTACCATTATAATTCACAATAAATTGTACTTTATGCAGTGTATCAGCCTAAAGATTTTATTTAAAAATAATATAAATCATTTGTCTAAGGTGTTTATAATGAAGTTGGATTTTCAAAAAATAGATCCCCAAAATTATTTCCAATTTTAGTTTACAGAAGACATAAAAATATTTTTACAATACAGATTTTTCCATAAAACATAAAAATGGTGATTTTCATTGAATGGTATATACACTTCAGACACTTCATGAGTGCCAGAGGGGATAAGAGGACATGGCAGACTGGAGAGGTCACTTCCAACAAACAGACAGATGGAAACTCCTGTGGTGTATTTGTCTTGATGGTAAATATATAATTTCAGCATTCATTTTCGATGTATTAGTGGTTTTTGAGATAGCATGAGTGGTGAACGTGGTGTCAGAGAAGGTTAAAAATGTTAATAGTATGATTGAAATAAAACATAAATTCCAAAAATAAAAAAATGTTTCTGGGACACAAGTACATAATTCCTTAATACAACACAATGGAAATATGTTGCTAATACACGGTTTCTTTTGCATATAAATCAGAACTGTAATTTTAATTTACTAAATAGGATCAATAGATCATTAATAATCATGGATTTATAAAAAAAATAAAAATATCTTAATGAATATTAATTTCTTAATTTCAATGTTTATAATTTTGTTAACATTTTGATCTTACAGAATGCAGAGGCAATTATGGAAGCAACAACACCCTTGATAATGAGGCAATGTCATGTTGGATTCTTCAGAAAGTATGCCCTTAAGAAGCTACTACAGAGCCCATCTGGAGCAAAGAAAAACATCCTGTGACTTGCCTTTTTGTACAAACACGGACAAATCTCAACGGATCAGCCAGTGTGGGCAGTGTGATAAGTGGGCTCATCCCAAGTTTTTGGGTCTCCCGTCCGACAAAATGCAGTCTCCAAGCCTCTGTGTGTTTTGTTAGTGTAGCACATGTGTCACAACATTGAATATGAAACTAGTTCTCAATATTATAAATTGTGCCATGGTGCGTCGTCCATCCGTCGTTCGTGTCAACTTTTCCTTTTAAAAACTACTAGTCATGAACAACCCACGATACTTAACTTGGTCTGGAGCACCCCTAGGCTAAGTGCATTCAATTTTGTATAAATGGTGGGTGTGGCCCTCCTGGGGGCAGAGGGGCGGGCCCAATAGGGGGAAAAGGGGGAAAACCTTTAAAATTCTTCTTCTACCATTGGAATAAAAACATTTTATTCTGATTTAATCTGGAGCATCTTTGTGCCAATATGACTCAATTTTGATTAATTGTAGGTGTGCCCTACTTCTACTGAACCATTGGAGGGATTTTATGTAATAAGAATAATTTCCCATGGTTGCTTTATCATCCAAGTGAGCGATACAGTCCATCTGGGCCTCTTATTTATTGGTAAATTATAAAAAAATATTGTTTACTATGTCAATACCAAAAATGTTCTATCCCAATAACATAATAAAGTATTTAATTTATTAAAGAAGTTGTTAAAAATGTTACTTTGTTTCTGTTAAACATGAATATATATTAAAACACTTACTTGCATTGGTTTGTTTTATATGCTGTTTTTAATCAGGTGGTGAAACCTTATCCTTTTAGCAATATTCATTCAATTTCAAATATATCATATTTATAATAGTTTTTAAATAGATTAATTATATGTGTTGAAACTGTCACAACTCAGAGATCGGAATAAAAAAAATGGTGGGGTTGTATATAAAGTATCCGGGGGACGGGGAATTGAATATAGGTTGGGTAATGACTATAACATAACTGTAAATGTTTCTACTTGACTCCCCAAATGTAACTGTGTCCAGCAATTGAAAATTATTTTGGCATCATTTCCTGGCCCCGGGGTGGGGAATGGTCCGGTAGGGGTGGATTAATATTCCCCTGTAATGTCCTGTTCAAGTTCTGAACTCAATTGGAAAAAAAAAAGAGAAAAAAATAATTTCAAAGGGGGTTACTTTTTGGTCAGGGATAAAAAAAGTATCCGGGGGACGGGGAATTGAATATAGGGTGGGTAATGACTATAACATAACTGTAAATGATTCTTCATGAATCTCCAAACCAGTGTTTAAAAAATATTTTGGCATCATTTCCGGGCCCCGGGGTGGGGGATTGTTTGGGTAGGGGTGGATAAATATTCAACTGTTACATCATGATCAAATTCTGAACTCAACTGGATAAAAAAAAGAGAGAAAAAATAATTTCATAGGGGGGTACTTTTTGGTCAGGGATAAAAAAAGTATCCGGGGGACGGGGAATTGAATATAGGGTGGGTAATGACTATAACATAAGTGTAAATGTTTCTTCACGACTCTCCAAACCAGTGTTTAAAAAAGATTTTGGCATCATTTCCGGGCCCCGGGGTGGGGAATGGTCCGGTAGGGATGGATTAATATTCCCCTGTAATGTGCTGTTCAAGTTCTGAACTCAATTGGAAAAAAAAAAGAGAAAAAAATAATTTCATAGGGGGTACCTTTTGGTCAGGGAATAAAAAGTATCCGGGTACTTTTTGGGAGGGGGGACTTTTTTTGCGGGTTTAAAAAGAATCCGGAAACTTTTTGGTAGGGGGGACTTTTTATGCATGACATCGGATAAATACTTCGAGATAAACGCGGTATTCGAGTTAAAATAGTTCGAAATAACACGGTTCGACTGGAGTTCTGGAATACACCAGCAAATCTACTTAATGGTGGGGTTGTATATAAAGTATCCGGGGGACGGGGAATTGAATATAGGGTGGGTAATGACTATAACATAACTGTAAATGTTTCTACTTGACTCCCCAAATGTAACTTTGTCCAGCAATTGAAAGTTATTTTGGCATCATTTCCGGGCCCCGGGGGTGGGGATTGTTCGGATAGGGGTGGATAAATATTCAACTGTTACATCATGATCAAATTCTGAACTGAATTGGATAAAAAAAAAAAAAAATATTTCGATGGGGGGTTTTTTTTTGGTAGGGAAAAAAAAAGTACCCGGGGGGTGGGGAATTGAATATAGGTTGGGTAATGACTATAACATAACTGTAAATGATTCTTCATGAATCTCCAAACCAGTGTTTAAAAAATATTTTGGCATCTTTCCCTGGCCCCGGGGGTGGGGATTGTTCGGATAGGGGTGGATAAATATTCAACTGTTACATCCTGATCAAGTTCTGAACTCAATCGGATAAAAAAAGAGAAAAAAATAATTTCATAGGGGGTACTTTTTATACATGACACCGGATAAATACTTCGAGATAAACGCGGTATTCGAGTTAAAAGAGTTGGAAATAACACGGTTCGACTGTAGTTCTGGAATACACCAGCAAATCTACTTAATGGTGGGGTTGTATATAAAGTATCCGTGGGACGGGGAATTGAATATAGGTTGGGTAATGACTATAACATAAGTGTAAATGTTTCTTCATGACTCTCCAAACCAGTGTTTAAAAAATATTTGGGCAGCATTTCCTGGCCCCGGGGAGGGGGATGGTCCGGTAGGGGAGGATTAATATTCCCCTGTAATGTCCTGTTCAAGTTCTGAACTCAATCGGATAAAAAAAGAGAAAAAAATAATTTCATAGGGGGGTACTTTTTGGTCAGGGATAAAAAAGTATCCGGGGGACGGGGAATTGAAGATAGGTTGGGTGATGACTATAACATAACTGTAAATGTTTCTTGATGACTCTCCAGACCAGTGTTTAAAAAATATTTTGGCATCTTTCCCTGGCCCCGGGGGTGGGGATTGTTTCAACTGTTACATCATGATCAAATTCTGAACCCAATTGGATAAAAAAAAAAAAAAAAATATTTCGATGGGGGGTTTTTTTTTGGTCAGGGAATAAAAAGTATCCGGATACTTTTTGGTAGGGGGTACTTTTTATGCATGACACCGGATAAATACTTCGAGATAAACGCGGTATTCGAGTTAAAAGAGTTCGAAATAACACGGTTCGACTGTAGTTCTGGAATACACCAGCAAATCTACTTGCACGCGGATTATATAGAGGACGTTACAACATCAAACATATAGTTCTAAAGCACACCGAGTAATCTAGCTGAGCCATCTCTGGCCACTCCAGCCGAGGCCTTGCATTGTCTATTTACCCAGATGCTCACATTCCTGAATCTCGAATACCTACTCTGAACTCTGAAACTCCATATGAAAATCTTCCTAAAGTACATGTAACAACCATGTCACAATACTTATTCATTAGCATGTACCACCTGTCTTGTATATATGTTATGAGACACGTGCAGAGATGAGAAGTAACTTTCTGCCATTAATTCGCAAAGTTCTTATTTTTCGTTAGTTATCTCTTAAGTTAAACGCTATGACTGATCAAAAAATTAACTCGCTTATCATGTCATGAAATATTATAAGGTAATAACAAGGTTAGTAGCATACACAGGAGTACCAAATGGGGGAAAATATACGCCCTTTCCGTGGCAAAGAGAGGTACATTTTATCCTTCTGATATCTAAATGATAATAGCTTACTCATGGTATGTTTATTGTAACTCAAACTTATCTTTGAAAAAAAAATAGGCGCAACGTACAGTATTTCTTGGCGATGAGGGCGGCTGCAGTAGCAGCGGCACCGATGGCGAAAGCTGCAGCGAAAGTGGCGCCGGAAACGGCGGCGCTGGCGGCTCCGAAAGCGGCAACGGCGGCGACACCGACGAAGAAATTCAGCATAATGTCTGTAATATATAAAACACAATAATGATCGAACGCTAATACACTAACGCTGTATAGGTACAGTCTATGTCCCATCCTTCCCCTGTACGTATAAGCACAGTGTATCCCCCCCCCTATTATTTATAGGTACAGTGTAGGTCCCCACCCTCCCTTCTTATATATATAAGTACAGCGGATAAAAAGATAATCTACTGTTGTTGTTTTTTTTGTTGGTAAGTGTATGCATAATGCATATGATATACAGCCAAGACATATATTGTTCCTTTTCTACTTTGATGTAGGTTAAAAGTGTAGCAAATGGGGAGGGACATATTGATAAGATAATTTAAGATGATGAAAGTTCTCCTCTGTTTTACTAAGTAAAATAGAGAACCCTTTTTCGGATGTGTTGAAAGGAAAAAAACATATTGAACTTAAACTTAAGCTGAAGGAATATATATATATCATATTTTCTTCCCGACCTTTTAAAAACCTGATTTGCATTGGAATTGTCCCCTTTTTCCATATTTCAAAAACCATGAAAATTGATATATAAATTGCTAATAATCGATGCATTTTTCACCATTTTTAAATGCCTGGCCAGTCGGACATCGTTGACCGATCAGATAGTAGTATGCTGACATAACGCCAAGATGGCCTGCGTCGCTTACATTTAAGTTAATATACAAATATCTCCTCGTAAAGAGCAATACTGCAAACCAACATGATATCAGCCAAAATATCATAAAATGTTGCCCATTGGTATTTCATATATCATAAATGTTATTAACAAACTTGTGATCTTCAAGCAAGTTTACGAGCATGTATTAGTTGAAGCTTTACAGCACTCTATCAAGGCATGCTACTTGTCGAAGACCCGACAAACATACATACATGACGTTATATAGTATCAAACCATCAACTGTCTGCTTGGTTCCTTCCGCATGGCATTTCAGTGAGATAACAGTATATAGTCGGCATACAATCTGCGCTTTCACGAAAAGGCATACTCTGCCTCTTGCAAACATCCACGCATACACGCATACACAACACACATCGAGGCATGTCCGTAAATGCCATTAGCTGTTAATAGGACGTTAAACAAAATAAAACCAAACATAACTGTC